CATGCATAGTCGGGTTGTTAGACAAGAGTTCAAATAACCTCAGTTTTTAACAGATGAGTTCCAATTTTTGAACTTGACACTAATGTTTTTAATAAATATAAAGTTATTTATTATTATACGTGAAGTTATATACGAATCGGAAGCATTGGTTACAATCAAATATAATTTTACATATTTTAAACTGTTTTTTTTATCGTGTATTAGTTCATTGCACTAAATATCTAAATATCAAAGCGACAAATCCTGAAATATACCAATATCACCTCAGTTAGGGTGTCATTGACAAATAAATTCATATTTATTGCATTTTGGTCACCCCAATAACCTTGGAATGGCCTTAAGAATAATAACATGTCGAAAAGAATGATTACACTGTGAATACTCCATACTAAGAAAACATGCTTAGTGACAATCACTGTAGGCAGAGAATCCTAATTGAAATTCTACCTTTAATCTTACTATGTTTAAATTGATGAAAAATGTCAGTTGTATCAATTTCATATAATTTACTTGAATCCTACGGCCGGCCCATAACTCCAGGATCATAAAAACATCGCATTAATGGTGTATCATTCTATATTGCCTCGTTAGTGTGTGTGTGTGTGTGTGTGTGGGTGTGTGTGTGTGTGTGTGTGTGTGTCTATGTTGCTGGCTATGAATACTACTAATGCAAACGAAGCAATAATTATGTCTGGCGGAGTGGTTGGGTAAAACACTGTATTTACTAATATGTTCGTTGAAGGGCTTCATCTTTTCTATCATGATATTCCCGTTTTTAGTTGCATACAAAATGAACGTAGCTTGTGGTGAATCAACGCTCAGATGCATAGTTCAAATAACTTATTAAATTATATTTGTCGTTTTGACATATTTATCCGTACAATGATTCGTATCATCGATTCCGATGAGCTTTTGAGAAACCTTATTAATAATCTATGCGCGATTAAATTATTACACCTAGTTTTTATGAACAAGTTGGAACCATTACGTCAATCATATTTGGAAACCATCCGCGATGATTAAAATTTACCTTTTTCTTAAAAACATAATGTAAAGCGCTTCTCCATACTATAGATACTTACTTCAAACACGCCCAGCAAGTTGGCCGACATGGAATCATCGCTGTGGTCGGTGAAAAAACTCTGTACGTATTGTGCGTGATCTCGGAACATCATGCCACCTGACGAGTAGGTTATAAGATGAATGTCGTTCGAGTGCTGACCGTTCGTGTGTTCATCACCTGTTTCCATTTCCTCACGTAGATGGCTGTTTGTTTCGCAGCGGACGAAGTTTTCGTGTCGAGCAACGCGACCGCGGCGTTCCCAAACGAGTGACGATAATGTATTAATTGGTCGAAACATAATAGAACAGAAGTAGTACGGCTGCTTATATTGTTATCGCCAGATGATGGCTGTGTCGCGAATCCGTAATGGGTGAATATCGACTGATATTTACAGTAACGGAGCTATCTCATGTGTCAACTTATCATTTCATTGCCTCAAAATGATATTCTATTGAATTAACATTTTACTTGCTTGACGTTTGAGTGACGACTACAAATATTAACTTCGTTATTGTCTCGCTGTTCAGTCTTGCGTACACACTCATTGTATTCTCCCCAAGACAAGCTATTACCTGAATGAAAAACAATCGTTTTTATATAGTTTCTGGAGTTACCCAGTGGGTAGGAAGTGTAACTTTATATTGTCAATTGGGATGATATTCCAACTGAAGAGGGAAATGGTGACTTGCAAAGTTGCCACAAGTTCTACGCCCATTTTACGGAAGTACAGGCGCAAAGTTTCCGCTCGATCACGTGACGAGATACGTTGTTCAAAGTCGCCTAATGACAATGACTACAATTTTACTGAATAATAGTGACTCAGCAAAATTTAAGTTTTGTTGAATCATGCCTGAGTCATGATGAATTGCAATATCGGGAAACTTTTCTTTGAAAACGTATTACTGCTGTATAAGTTATGGAGACGTAAATGATTGTTTAATGAGTATAATTTTTCATATGTTTATTTGTTTCTGACTAATCCATAATAAATTAATTTTGTATTAAACTCTCTATAACAGTAATACGTTTACTGTTCTAGAATAATTCTTAAGATTGTTCTATGTGCTTGTGTATAGTTAGTAGGTATTACGTTTCACATACGACAATTTTTTGAACATTTGTTCACCTAAATGTCTTTGATTTTAACTGTCGTTTGCATATTTTGACAAATACGTGTGTTTAGTATAATGTTATTTGTTTTACCTATTAAATGATTTACGATTCGTAAGCACTGGTTACACTCTACACACATCTATACACTCTGACTGAGTACAACTTTACATTATCTCAAACGTTATGTTTTTTTGTTTTTTTTATATCATAGGAAACTTTTTAGAAAAATAAATGTATTCCTGATGTACAACATAATGGTGATTTGTATTAAAACCGTTTAATATAAGTTCAATTGCAGATCATTCAATATAACCAAGGCCAAAATTAAACACATTTATTTATTTTCGTTTTAAATATTTTTGTGCCAGGCGGCATTTCTGAATATTGAATTCAATTGTTTTTCCCCGGACTTGTTTGTCTTAGGTACTAATTGTAAGCACATGGCTGACTTTACTCGCATTTTTACTGCTCAGTGAACAGCTAGCTAAGGGAATCAAACACAGAACATCCCTTGTACTATTGCCAAGGAAAAGTAAAATTCTAAAGTAACAGACCGTTTAAACGACTTAACCGTCATACGCTAGTGCGTCCACGGCTTGGAGGCTACTCATCGAAAACATGTTGAATCATGGGACATTGATGTGATTGTTGGGATATCATTTAAACACTGGAAACTACACACAAGAAATGTTTGTGACATGTATCGATTAACGAAAGAAATATTAGCAGCGCTGAAATGTGATAATAATTGTCTTCTCGTGTACATTTCGAGGCGAAGGTGTGAAAAGAGGCTCAATTTAGCACTTTGAATCACTCATTATTAACACGATGAGAGTAGATGTCACAAGAAGGTGATAACAATGACGTCTTTGGGGAAAGTAGTGCACTATACGATATAATCCCTAATGGGTGGATGAATATTTGCATAATCAGTGTGTATAGAATTCATTGATCAGCTCTATGAAGCCCAGAAACAGTAACAACAAATCTATTTCCAAAATCGGTGCGCGCGGAATTTCCAGAGACACCGAAAACTTAAAAATATGCCGTGACGCTCACAGTTACGAGAAACACATCATTACTATTATTGAAATAAATTGCTAAAGTGTAACATAGGACCAAAATTGAACTTACTTTGAGTATTCTGAAAGGGCTATCTTTGATGCTACACACTTCTCCGGCATCACATTGTTCGTCAGTTGCTGTTTCTGGACCATCTTGTAACGTACTGTTCAATCGCTCCACAGTCGTGCTTGAGCCCCATGGGCGCCATCTTGATTTATTCATAGAGGGAGACTCGCCGGCGGAGGAACACTGAACATCGAAGTCTAGAAAATACAATGAAGATATGTGCAATTTGATAAAACAACATTTTTGTGTGTGCTATCTGAATATAGGTAACTCGTGTAAAATCGTTTATTTGAAATATCTTAGTTGTAATGGCAGACACAACAGAACACAACTTTAATATCGCTAGCTTTTAAAGGCACTACGGATATTGGCGGCTTTGCCAGTAATATATCAAACACATTTTCCCGAATGTCATTTGTGTTGTTTTTTGCACCACTGCGTTACAAATAATCACAGGCGAATACTATTCCCATTAGACAGTCAACAAATGACCAGTAAACAAAATATTTGGTTTATCTACAGTAAAGTTCTGAATCGAAGTCACTAATAAATACATGAACATTATTTAAATTAGTTTAATTGTCAGCAATTTTAAAGACTTTAACTGATATATGTACTATATTAAAAGTAAAAAATACAGTCTGAACACCGTGGACGACCATATCCTATAATTTCACAGTGCAATCGCATTGATTTGTGCATGTATATTTAAAACAAAATGTAGTACAGCGCAGTTCGTACTTCAAATGTATACAAGATATACTTTGTTAACTTTAGCTGTCACACTACTGGGTTTATATGTGGATGCTTATATGACTGGTAAATCACGGCGTTTCTAAGTCAGATAAGTAGTTCGTGCATTTTAGACCGTCGTTTCACTGAACGCTGTAGTGGAAGCACAATGTTTTCATCTTTAGTATATGACTGAAGCAGAATCAGTCGTATATATGCGAAATTAATTGAACACGAAAACTATACAATAAACTATTATAAACCATGGAGTGTATTACGTAGTAAGATAAACTTAACACTAACGTTTTCAAAATCAGTGAGTAGTTTACACCAATACGAGTGTGTCGTAGGCTACTCTTTGCGTCGAATTCCCCGTGGGATTACTACACCGCCAGGCATCGTAATGTTTCCAAGACTCAAATTAAGTTGATAACAACATGGCAATGAATATAAATAATTCAGTTACCTACACACGCGTTTATGGTCCTCTAATCGAGCCCTGATGTTCCCGAATGCTCGTAGAAAAGCTTCACCAACTGGCATCATTATGTTTCCAGGACTACGAATTAAGTGATAGCTACATAGCTGTTAAGTAGACGTAATTCGGTTACCTACATACACTTTTGTGGCTTTGTCTCCGAGCCCCGATGTTTCTAAATGCCCGTCGACATACAACATAAACTATCGTCATTATGTTTCCAAGACAACGAATTAAAACTACATAACTAATGAGTAGAAACAATTCATTTACCTTCACACACTGTTTTTGTTGTCTCCCCGAGCCCTGGTGCTTCTGATTATAAACACAATATACCTTCATCCGGGGTATTAATATATGAATAAGCTTGTTAATATATGCTAGAATCGTTTAACATCAATGCCAAGTTAAATGATAACATATGTTATGTATGTCACAACCCTTGAACAGGGAACGTCACAAACAAGACATGTGGTATCGGCAGCGATGTTGTATTTGTGGAGTACTGATCAGTGTGATTCGCTTTAAAAAGATGCGCTATGTATTAATCTTAAATTTCAATATAATTGAATCGAATTTTATTATTGAACTATGTTTACGATCTCATCATTCAAATTTAGATTCAATTTGTGACCCCATGACCCCCTCCCCCAAATCTCTCGAAGATTATGTTTATCTCGACACAAAGTGTTCATCAAAGTGATTGCGTTCTTTGTTGGAAAAATTTCCTTTGGTAACTCATATTGCTGTAACTCAGCGCACCCTCTCTGTAGAAAGTTCTACGCATCTGACCATTAAGTTCGTACTGAAAAGAAAACACACATTTTAACCAATGTAAACACAGCAAATGAATACGTGTGTTAGTTATTTGAAAGTACTATATACTTGTACGCCATGACATCGTTCTATAGTGTATGTTTTAATAATGGTGATATATTTTATATAACATTTAGAAAACGCATAAGTGGTTAACGAACATACATTTGCTAATTGAAGATTCGTTATCATAGAGGAGTTAGTCTGGAAAGATGCGGAAATCCTAAGTCAAAAGATGGCTAGGAGAATACAGACAAGATAGTATTAAATTTGTTACAGACAATTGAGCAGACGTTTAAAGGCAACGGAGACCAGTGTTAACTATGCGACCAGAGTTATGGGGAAACGAGAATTGTAATTGCATATTACAGTGTACTAGTATAACATGCACATGGTTCCTTTGCAATCACAACAGTCGCTGGGTTGCTGTGACTTGTTAGCTTGTGTACATATCTGGTAGCCTCTGTCATGTATGGGCTTCGAATGCGAATATAATGTTCAGCACCATCATTGTGGTTTGATTGGCAAACCTCACTGAACGTTACCTTCCATAAAACGTAAATTGCAATTGACCTCACTGTGATGACGCATGCGCTGTAGAAGTTGAATGGTGATTTCGTTTTTAAATACACAAGGGAAAGTATTCTATTTTCTTTGTGTAATGAGGGGTCCGTATACAAGGGGTTGTCCACGCAAAAACGATGAATGAAGTCGAATTTTATTAGCGGTTGGTTTAATGTTACCCAACGAATCGGTTGGATGTGAAAATTTATTTTCTCACCGATTTTTAGGCAACTGTTTATCAACTTGTCGCTTTGTTTAGTTTCAATCAGTGTTCAAGATGGCTACCCCCATATAGTAAATATCGGTGAATTAGTCGCATTTATCATATTATCACTTGTACGCCAGCTGTCTGTGGCCATTCTCAGGCTGACCAGGGGAACTACTTTCACATTATCACGCCTCGCAAAGCAAATCATTCAGGGGAATCCAGACATGTACCACGTTCTATGTTCCCTAATGCAATATAGACCTGTCCAGAGTGGACGCGACCACGAGTCGGCGCGAGTATGATTCGAAAGCCAACTGTTTAGTCAAAACCCAAGCAGTTAGCCAATTCGCTAGCGAGATTGCAAATTGGCTGCCCCAATACTCTGAGACTTGTTGTAACTCCAAAGACACCGATATGGTTTCGGTTTCAGAGTGACTTAGGTTTGTCTTTGTGTAGTACAGAGACATTGTGTATCATGCAAACTTAAATGAAGATAAAAATAGACCACTGATAACATCCATTGTTTACCATCCACAAATGGCTTGAATTTATGCAATCTACAGCGTTAATGGGTCAAGCGGAATGCAGCTCATTATTTTGAGAATTAGATTTTACAGAGCGTGGTTACCTGTCCGTCAATTTAATCAACTGCTTAATAGATCATTATTCTGCAACAAAGCATTTTTCTCGTAAGCGATTATTTCCACTTACCAAAGCTATGCAAGGACTAATGCTGATTTACAGAATCTGTCGTTTTACAATACATTCAATCGTGTAAAACCTATTGCGTGAAAGCCATTAAAGCGCGCCCGTTTTAATTTATTCAAACAGCCATCTGCGTATATGTTGATAAGTACACTACACTTCATAGTCAAATCAGTAAGAAAAATGTATATGCATTACAATACATACATGAAGTGAAAAAAGGGAGCACATCCTGTCTCACATATGACACCCACCATATAGTCATAATCAAACGGTTACTGTTAGTTGCCTTATACACGTGAATGAGTTGGGACATTTTTAGAGCCTTTTTTGAATAGTAAACACAATAGATGTTAATATTTAGAAAACTTTATGGTTGAACATTTGAATGATCCAATGATAAATATAGCTTTGTATAGTATTATGGAGTTTAGATATCCAATACAAGCCTGGTAAGTGATTCCTTTATTTCTTGTTAGAAATGTTTTTAAAATTCATGAATGGCTTGTGATGATTGGATTGATTATTTGTAAGTAGAATTATTATACTCAGTAAGTCCAAGTTCTTTAATAAGACTTGCATGACATGACTGACAAACACACACTATATAGTTGAAAGCTTTGTTGGCAGTGACAAAAATATTTGTATTATAGAGATCAGACAGACAATTAATCTTAATTAATCTTTAAAGGGCAGTAGTCGTCGCGCCGCGCATGCGCATGCGCATAATATGGGTCTCATATAAACAAAGATGGCGATTTTGACCAACGAGTACAAACTGTGAGACTACCAAGCATCAATTAGGTATTTTTGGTGTTTTTAGTGTTCGGTAATAAGTGGAAATGGCGCCCATAGCCAAACCTTGAACTCGTGATTTCATTATAAAAGCGCATTGGATTATGAGAAAATCAATATTTATCAACACAAATGTCACACATGCGCGGCGCGACGACAACCGCCCTTTAAATACAGATTTGGTCTGTTGACACATGACTCAAGTCTATGGAGTTGACAACATACATCAATTATTTTGATAGCCTTAACTCACTCTTACAAAATATCCACCCCAACTCCTGTTGTTTGGCCCACTGTCTGGCATATTCTTCAACTGAATCCATAACGATTTTAAAATTCTGACTACAGTTGATATAGTGATATTTTCTGAACTTCCGTTCACATGATGTTATCTTTCAAAGAGTATCATATAGAATAATGTTAAGATATGTGGAAAGGTATAGTAGTGACAATCAGTTAGATTTTGAAGAAAACTGACCACATTAACGTCCTTTAATGCTTGTTTATCTTTGAAAACCTTAGAAAAATTATACGTGTATATTTGTAAGAAAAAAATTTATTATAAGAAACGAATAACGTATTATACATAAGAGATTGATTTATGTATTTACTGGGAGGTAGATTTTGTAGTCAAAAGCTAGGCGCGTTGAACCCTTCATGCGCAACGTGTACAGGTAGTTCATGCTGTGTGCCCTATATGTCGTCATAATGGCTTACTGGAATTCCGGGTCATATGATGAGAATCCGGGAAATAAATGTACAGATGGTGTAAACCAATTAGCGATTGACACGATAGACTGTGTGACAAGTAGTTCATTCTCTGTGTCCCAGATGCCCCCCCCCCCTAATAGCATACTGGAATTCCGAGTAATTTGATGAGTATCCGGGTGATGAATCTACAGATGGTGTAAACCAATTAGTGATTGACACGATAGATTGTGTGACGTCATCGCTGGTACGTAATGTTCCAGGATCCTGCGACAGTCGTGTAGGATCATTGCCTGATTCATTGAGTAAATAAAGGATTCAAGACTGGTCTACAGTGGACATTTGTTGTTATTGTTTTACATATATGTGTTAGCTCTTGCTAAGCAAACATCTTTGTTGAAGTATGTGCAATGGTTTGTCCCATTTGTACATTTTATGACGAGGAATCGGGTACAGCCATCAAGCATACATTACCTACGCAATTGTCTTAAAGTTCACATTTCAACTACATACAAGACTTTAATATATTGTGTTTACCACCCAAGTTCACGGGAAAGTGAAGAGTAATCTAATCTTGGCATATTTTTAGATTGTACAAACACAAGTTTAGAGCAATTGCTCATATATGTACACGGATGCATGCAAATACATATATTGCAAGTATGAGTGCGTTAAACACAGCCTCTTCGCCACTTTCAAAGAAATATATATCTTGGCAGTATTTTAATTCCCAAATCCCACGTCCCTGATTAGTGATAACTTAGAGCACATTGAGATAGAGGAAACTGGTTGGGACGGTTTAAATTCTTTTTGGGGGTGGACATGAAAGCAACATCGCCATGATAATCCGGGTAAATAATGTATATTTTCATTATAGCAAATTCCTGGACAACAAGAAGAAATGTCTTGATAATTCGTCTATGAACATTTACATTGTAAATGAAGATTTTTTACTGAAATTGCTGTTTCCATGACACCCAGATCTAGTTCTCTTCCAAAATATTATTGATTAGTACTTATGTCATGAATAACCCATTTTGAAAATGTCATGAAACTCGTGTGACGAAGAAATCAATGACAGGGCATACATACATTATTATATTCAATACCCATAATACCAAGAATGATAAAAAATTGTTTTTGTCATGAATTTGAAGCATGAAATTTCCTCACATAGTAGGTCCATGTAGTTTGTCAGTCACGTGTATGCATCATAATAATAGATCGTCTAAATGAATTGAATCTGTGTGTGTAATTGAATATCGATCA